ATAATCTTTGTCTTTTCTGCATTGTTTACTAATAGTATTAAAGTTCCTTTCCATTTAAATAGGGAAACTGTTTTATCTCTATGTGGCAGATGGCAGAACCTATTTTAGAGTGGGAAGGTTTGGGGTTCTGAGGTGCAACTCTCCCTGCTCTGTAACAAAAAACACAAATTTTGATTAAGAAGGTCAGGGACCTGACTTGTGATTCTGCATTTCCAACAAGCTTCCAGGTCATACAGATATTATTGTTTAATGTTATTGATTTATAGATTATTCTTTGAGCAACAAAGCTCCAAAAAAACCCTATGGAAATAACTCAACATTTTAAAAGTTAAATGAAAAATTTCTTAAAACCTTATTCACTTAAAAAAACACACACACCTTATTCATTTTAGCAGCAGTAGTATTTAAGTTATATAGTGGAAAAATAAAGTAGAAATAAAGAAATAATAAAGCTCCTATGAGGACTGTCACTACTTCTGAGATTCCATTATAAAGGAGGGGAAGATAATTAAAAATTAAAAAGGAATGAGAATATCATGCACCTAAGAAGAGATGAAAAATAAAATCCATATTATTGGACAGATCACATATCGTATTTTACTTTTTCAACTCAGATCTAAATAACATGTGTTGGTAGCTTATGTTAGCAATGTCATTAAGTATGACTTCAGTGACTAAACAAGGACTCCAATATATTAAATACACATCACACTGCACATAATTATTATATTATATTGAGAATTATCACTATTACTTTTAGTCAGAAGTATAATTCAATCACTTAATCAAACAGAGCTTTTTTTTGTTTGTTTCCTTTTTCTATTAGTAAGATTCAACTGATGTAAATCCAACTGGTGGAAGACCAAACTTCTTCATAGTTCTACTAATCAATATAATGTCTTGCTGACACCATTTAAGTATATTAAAAATAAAACTAAAGTGCAGTCAGAAATATATCCATATTAAAATAGAACGCTTCTCAAACATACTAGTCAGTAACACATAGCAAAGGAACATTTCAGACTAGTAGTTACATAAAAATGACCTATGAGAAATTATACTGGAAAAGAGTCAAAATCCATCTTTGCTATATTACTTACAACATCCTGTAATAATTTTATTAGAACACTGTATGAGTCATTTATAACATTTATGAAAAGTGCATTAATGTTTAATAAAAATTTCCCTCCCCCAAAACCAAAATAGATCATTTTAAATCTCCCCAAATTTAACACTACACAACATACCTCTCAGTAACATCTTTAAAGATATAGCACCCAATGCAATGATAGTGAAGAAAAGGATAAACAGCTAGACTATATCAAGTTAAAGAGCTTCTGTACAGCAAAAGAAACATTACAAAAAACAGACATCCCACTAATTGTGAAAAAATTTTCTCATAAGCTCAAAATGTACTTGTAATATAAAATCTCCTAGTTTTTAAATGTGACCAATTTAATTTTTTTAAAGATTTATTTATTTATGCATACAAGAACTGGGATACAGTATGGCCAGAGGTATAAGAGGTGAGAGGGTTCACCAGAGACAGAGTGGGAACAGAACAGGCAGACTGATGAAATACACTGCTGATGGGAGCAGCGGGTGTGTCAGGAGAGGTCTGCCACGCCATATGGGTCACCTCCCTGGCTGGGGATTGAACTCATGCTGCAATGACTGCGATAGCTTCATAGTGCCGTGCTTTAACCTGCTGTACCACCAGGAAGGGCCCTCAATTTAATTTCTTAAAACTATTTGTGAGCTGACCTTTTAAAAATGGCATCTTTGGTCAAAGCCATGACCTATGAAGCATAGACAGTACCCTTAGTATAAGAAGTCACCAACACTAACAGAATTTTTCAATCCTAAATCACTCATCAGCAATGATATTCATGCACCTGAGCAGCAATAACGTATCTGTGAATAAGAGTAGTCATTGACCAAAAAAAAATCAACATAACTGCTACTTTTGATGATCTCTATTATGCACATACTCCACAGACAGAGTGGGGAACAGAACAGGTAGATTTACTGAAATATACTCTGCTGATGGGAGTAGCAGGCGAGGCAGGAGAGGTCTGCTGTGCCATGTGGATCACCTCCCCACCCAGGGATCAAACTCAGACCATTGCAGTGAGAGCACTAGGACTTACCCCAAGGCCACCAGGGAGGCCCTGCTTCCTATTTCATTATGAAAATAAACATTCAAAGAATAATTTCATATGTTCCAATCACTGCATCTAAAAACTACTACTATTCCAAACATCCTCTTTTCCTTCGGTGATATTGGCCATTTTTCTTTTTATTTAATCTCTCCACTTGCTACTGGATGCTATTCCTTTAACCTTAACCTCTGTACTCAAAACTTATGCTTCAGCAATTGTTCCCCTTGCTATTCTTACATCAATTGTTAACTCTCCCTTTCTACTGTTCACTTCCACCAGTACACTAACATGTACATAATCTCTGCATGATGATAAGCAATTTCTAGAATGACTCCCTAGTGATCAGTACTTCCTGGTACTAATACTCTTCAAATAGCCCCTCCATTATTGAAACAGGGTTGTTATGTGTGTATAATGGAATAAGGCAGTGACAGGACATACTTCAAAACTAGGCTATAACACTAATTCTTTCATATAACTGTCTTTCTGCAAGTCTAAAGCCAGATTTTCTACCATGAGTATACCATGAGTCTATAGCAAGGTTCCACTGTCAGACTGAGATCTCTGGCCAACATTCACAAAAGAACTAAGCCTGCAATAGGGATGTGAGCATACTTGTAAGCAGATACTACAATCCCTGTCAAATCTTGAAATGACTGCAGGGCAGACCAACAATTTTAACCACAACGTTCTGCAAGCTCTAATTCCTATAAGCTAAAGTCCCTTCTCATTCCTTTACTTAAAAACTCTTTAGGAATTACATTTAATCACTATCCTTTCCCTCTTGATTTTTGATTCTCACTTGAACACTCTAGAATAAAAAAAAAAAACAATGACCCTCATATATTACTAATTTTAATAATTATAACAAGTATATTGTTTTTGTACTATTGAGTAATATTTAATTCTATAGAAAAATTGTAATAGATAAAACATATGTATAGGGTAAACAGAATGGGACAAAAGAACCAAGAGATACTTAATACTTTGAGTCACTTAGTTACTATATCTCAGGAGACAGTGAAAAGGTCAGGATACACATGAGTGAAAAATATAATATCCTAAATTCTTAATTTGGTCACCCATCAGTGACATTTATTCTGGCTACACGTTGTCAACAGTCTAAGAAACAAAAATAGAACCCATAGCTATTCCACAGATTAACTGGAGAGCTAAAGCTATGGCCAAGCACATCTGTCCCAGGACACCTTCCATGTAGGTTCCAGTTCTCATAACCATATAAGCAAAACTGATAAGCAGGAAGGACTATAAACACTGTATAACCCAGAATTCAGGCACTGTGGTCACTCTACCCAACTTGTACCCTATCTAAGAGTGTTAATGAACCCTGTTATTTATCTCCCTTGCTTCTCTCCAGGGATTTTACATCTATGTAATTTTAAGAGACCATGTGCTATAAGGCTTTTGCCAGTGAGCCTTTTTTCTAAATCTCTGAGATGGGTTGGCTGGCAGTAGACCTGGAGTCTACCACAGCTTTAGGGACTCTGACTCTAAAGACAGTATTTAACAAGATTACTTAACTTTCCTTTTTAAAACATTTTGCTTACTTAGCCTCTGGGTCATCCACTACCTACTATTCTCCTAGCTCACTGGTCAAGTGTTCTCCATCTCCTTTACACCACATGGATATATAACCAGTTTCAGCTTTAAATAACATCTGCAGGCTTATGAGTTGCACGTTTCTACATCAGTCTAAACTACAGACAATTTAAAATAAAAGGTTTCTATCTACTTCTAAACTTACTCCTCCCTTGTATCACTGCAATGATATCCTAGATGGACTCCCTGATATCTAGCCACTGTAGCCTACTCCCAACCACAATATAATTGCTGTGTCTTTATTTTATTTGTATTTTTTTAGTAACTGCTGTGTCTTTCAGGACCCAAACAAAGCACATAATCTGAATCTAATCATGAGAAAATAAAAGAAAAAGACAGTATTAGGTACATTAAGTAGAAGACTCAACCTATATTCTTCAAAAAAGTCAATGGCATGAAATACTGGCATGAAGAAACCTTCCAGATTAAAGCTAAATAAGAGATATTAGAAATGAATAGAATGTATGCCTCTTGATTTCATTTTGCTGGAATTGACATTATCGGGACAGTTGCCATACTAGATACAGTCTGCATATTAGATAAAAGGGACATTATGTCTACAATTTTTTCTTGTAGAAGTCAGAAAAAAATGAGAGACATAATGCAGCAAAATGTTACCATTTGGGAGATTTACATGAAAGGTATATGGAAAATCTTTATATTATAATAAATTTTCTATTAAATCAGAAATATAAATTTTATGTAAAAACAACTTTAAGTTAAAAAAACAAAAAATAAAAAGTATGAAATTCTAATCAGGAAAAATTTTCAGTAATATATTGAACTTGAATGGCAAATTTCAGATTTTAAAAGATGATCTCTACAAATTCTCCTTTTAGGTTCAATATAAAAAGTTATTACAATGAAAGAATAAAATGTATAGTAACAGTAGACTTAACATATAACTCTTTTAATATATATATTTTAATTAGAATAACATACTAGACTTACTTCTATTTCTAAATTTCATTTAAAAACTAAGTATCACTAAAGTAAAATATCAGAGCAAAACATACTGTAATTTCATACAATAAAATTTCTAGCTTATTTTAGAACATTATCATGCTATAAAGATTCAGAAAACCTATTTCAACTAAAGCACTACAAAACACTGAAGAAAAAAGTAGAATAAAATAGTACTAAAGTAAAAGAACTGATTTTATTTATTTAAATGCCCTATCAAGTAGTCATTTCTAAATATGAAAGAAAAGAAATTACCTTCATGAACTGTAATGCCACAATTGTCACATTGAATTATTTCATCAGCATCCTCGCTATTATCTCCAAGGCAAACACAGCAAATCAGAATATGGTCCATTTTTTGAGAACTCCAATTTTGACTCTTCTCAAGAATCAGCGAGTCCTAATATTAAAATATATCAGAAAATCATGTATTTAAATTAAAAGGTAATCATATAAAGTTCTCATTTTCAACTTATTATGTATTGCCACATTCTCCATTCTTTCAGCAAATTTAAAGCATGCTACATTTGCAAAGAATACCTCTTTGTCAAAGGGCCCTGAATACCCTTTCCGTATTGTTTTTCACTTCTGCAATTCCCATACTCTCTTTTTTTCTAAGAAATGAAAAATCAAGTATACAACTTTAAAAACCTTTCACTTATTTTGCCATTCTGGATTATAATCTGACCCCTTAAACTAGAAAAAAGGAAAAGTTAACATATAATTATTAACCCTGAATATAAGTTTAAAAAGCCTAACAGTTCCTTTTTTAGAAGTTTATAACCTTACCTAGAGGAAGATAGACATATATTAAACAGGAATAAATCAATTCAAGATAACATAGAAGCCTATCTGTATGTGATGGCACAATCAGACTTTATACTCCTTAACTGCAGAGAAATTCAGAAGTTTCAGGTTCATCAAACTACTGGATGATAGATCCACGAAAGTGTGCATAGGCACATCTGTATGCACAAGTATGGAACCCTGATGCATATAGTCTAAGAAAGGATCTAGGTCTACATGTTGCTAGAGGATTAAGAATACTAGGTTTAGTGAACAAGTATCTAGTATAAACTGGTAATAAAGACAGTTATTCATAATATAAAAGGAAAAATGTATTAGTAGACAAATATAAAATTCAAAGAGGGAAAGAGTTTGCTGTTTTTGATTAAATTCTTCTGCATTCTGGATTTAAACTTTAAATAAAAACAATCATTCTTATATTTAACAGATTGGGTCTAGCATTACATACAATAAAAGATGAACTTAAGTTCGTATTTTCATTTAGAAACCTAGTATATTCAAAACCAAAACTAATTAGTTCTATTACTACCCATTCAATATGTACCATTTCATACTTTTATATCCTTTTAGACTCAACTAATATCCAAAGGTAATATTTAGAGCCATCGCTTAAATAGCAATTCAAAAATGATACTTGAATGTCACATTACTGTCTTTCGATATATTTTCTGAATACTTCTAAATTTGCAACTGATGTATGAAGCAAGACAGAAGAGAATGCAAACCTCAATACAGAACAATGCCATTTCTCTTGAGAACGCTAATACTTTAAAGTTTCACATTTGCAGCTTTGTTATAAAACCAAGCAAAGTAGTTTGTGAGTTTGACATGGTTAGCAAATAAAGGTTAAGGCTTCCTAAAAAGAAAACTCATGTATTCTAGTATTTTGATACAGTAAGCAAAATAAAAAATCTGCTGCAACTTTCAACCCATTGGCTATTCTTTTACACCTAAGAACATTTGAAAAAGTCAAATGTTTTGGGGCTTCATTCTCAGCTCTCATTCAATAGCTATTGAACATCAAACCTACAGCTTTCTCAACTATCAAATACAGATAATAAAAATAACATGAATCTTATAAGGTGCATTGTGAGAATTAACAACATATAATGTGAATGTTCCCGATATAGTAAGTCTTCTGTAAATGCTCATTCCCTTTTTCCTTTCCTCTGCATTTCTTCTAAGTGATTCAAGAAGAGAAATGAACTAACCATTTTACTAAGGAATCTTCCTCTAAACTCCAAAAGGAAAGTTGTAAGTCTCAATAGCTCTGCTTCAATGCCAAGTCCAATAATGTACATTGCCATTTAAGTCCAAAGTAAACTTTTTCTTATGACATCTAGGTTAAAAAATCAGATTAGGAAAGACCTAGCAAACAACCAGAGTTTAATGACTGAAAGGCTACTTGTGCTACAGTTCTGTCTTACTGTTCTATTCTTTTGATCCCCTTTACCTGAGACTCCTATACAAGTATAATGCGAAGAAAAAATAGAGGGAACAAATGCCCTAATCAAGTGGGTGATAGATAATACTTTAATGTGGAAATCTAAATCATACATTCTCTTAAAAAAGCATGATTTAGGCCCTCCCTGGTGGCGCAGCGGGTTAAAGCACAGCACTGAGAATCTGAAGCCACTTCCGCATGAGTTCGATTCCCGCCTGCCGCCTGCCCGGAGGAGACCACATGGCGAGCCAGACCTCTCCTGACCCGCCCGCTGCTTCCCTCAGCAGTGTACTTCGTAGATCTGCCTGTTCTGCTCCCCACTCTGTCTCTGGTGAAGCTTCTCACCGCCCCTGAGCCTCTGGCCTGTACCCCAGTTCTGTATGCAAAAATAAATAAATCTTTAAAAAAAAAAAAAAGCATGATTTAGGGCCCTCCCTGGTGGTGCAGCAGGTTAAAGCACAGCACTAAGAAGCTAAAGCCAGAGTTTGATCCCTGCCCGGGAGGTGATCCACATGGCACAGCAGACCTCTCCTGACCCACCCGCTGCTCTCCTCAGCAATGTACTTCATCAGTCGGCCTGTCCTGCTCCCCACTGGCTCTGGTGAATCCTCTAACCGCTCCTGCACCTCTTGCCTATACCCCAGTTCTGTATGCATATATAAATAAATCTTTAAAAAAAATGATTTAGGTTTACTTCAATGGAGCAATAGTAAGTGCAGACACACTTAGGTAAAAGTGCCAATTTCTAGTAGCATATTTCTGAAGATGTAGACCATCTTTCAAGGTCTGAAGATAACAATTAAGCTAGAGTTGTTGTTGTTGTTTTTTACCACAAAATAGATTACTTGAAAATATGATTTTTGTATAATGACAGAAATTAGAATAGTGGATTTTTAACAGCACAAAAATATCACCTAGAATATCTCTTAATATTATGGAATTATTTAGTGGAATGTCATAATGGTTAACTACAAAAACAAAGGAGGCATTATAATAAATTAGTCACTACATATAGTAAGTTATTTCTTTCTTCCCCTTGGATTTAAATTTTACACCAACGAGGATAATACTGCCCAATGCTCTCTGTGGGCTTTAAAATATGTTTGGTGTTCATTTGTGTGTGTGTATGTGTGTGTGTATGTATGTATGTATGTATTGCACATGAATGATATATACAACAAAGTAAATTCTAAGTTATATGGATTTAACAGAAGAAATTCCAATGCATTTCATGCAAAGCCAAAATTTAAAAAATCCTACTGCCCTAAATAAGTCAGTATACCAAGAAGTTTGATTAAGAATTCTTCCTCTAAGTTTTTTTATTTATTCACCAGAAAAGAGTAGGGAACAGAAAAGACTGACTGACGAAGTACACTGCTGAGGAGCAGTGGGCAGGTCAGGTCAGGAGAGGTCTGCCACGCCATGTGGGTCACCTCCCTGGCCAGGACTTGAATTCACGCTGAAGCGGCTTTAGCTTCGCTGCACTGCATTTTCAGCCACTGTGCTACCAGGGAGGGCCCTTTCCTCTCAGTTTTAAAAGAGGATTCATTTCTCAAAAATCTCAACTTTTGCATAATGTTACAAATTGATATTATTTAGGCATTAGAGCAGTTTATTTTATTCTGATATTTGTAAGAAGGCCTCAAACACAAAGATTATTGATCAATTTTAGCAAAATTAACAATGGTAAAAACTCGTGGTTTTTATCAGATTCCCATTTCTAAAATTTAATCTATAACAGAGATTTTTATGAAAAAAGAAAAAGGTTCCAAATGTCAAATATTTCTATATTAATTCCCTTTCAAAGCTCTAGTTTCAAAGACCTGAAGAGACTGCTACATACAAAAATGTTATAGTTCTTGCCTCAAAATTGACCTTAAATGACTAAAAAGTTAAAGAATCTCAGTAAAATTCAGAAGTTTCAATATTAAAAGTTTTAAAGAAATATAGTACTGAATGAAAAAAAAATGCAATAATGTCACTGATAAAACCAAGTAGCCACACAGGAAATGCCTAGTTCTAGAACAGTAGTTGTCAAGGTGTGTTTTGGGGTGCTCTCAGGAAAAGGTAAAGGCTGTTTTTATAGTAATACTGTAATTGTTGCTTTCTACATTGCCTCTATAACAAGTACATGGTGAAGTTTTGCAGCTATAAGCCAGGGTTAACATCACTATCCTATTTCTGTGCTTCTTATTACTTATATTTTATAATTTCTGAACTTTAATGTGAAAGGATAACTTTCAATCTACATGTCCCACACATATATAACTGGGCAGGGGCGCTCAACAATTTTTTGAGCATATAGTGGGGAGAAAAATGTTGTTCCATTATGTAAAAATTGAGTGAGGAACCTTGATGGCATTGGAAGCTTTGCAGGAATTTTCCAAGAAATAACTTCACCAAGATGTCCAGTGATAAGCAAAGTCTGAAGAGGAGAGTCCCAGCACCAGCAGTGGTAGTTCAGATGCGGACCAAAGAGACCCAGTCACTCCAGAGACTGAAGAACAAGAAAAAGAAAATCTTCTGCCACTCAGCAGAGGAAAACCAAGCTCTCTAGCAAAACCACTAAGTTATCTACTGGTGCTAAAGAATTCAGAAGGAGCTAATCGAAATAACCCTTTATCCTCCCCCTAACATCCCTTGGCCCTAAATGAGATAACATTTATAACATTTGGGCCCTAAAGGAGATAACATTTATAAGTGGAGACTGACTATACTTGGTCCACCAGGTTCTATATGTGAAGGTGTGTTTCTTCTGGATAGCCCAATTTCATACAATTATCTGTTTAAACCACCAAAGGTTACTTTCCACGCTAGAATTTACCACTGCAGTATCAATAGTCAGGAGTCATCTGTCTAGATATCTTTATAGAAAATGGAGTCCTGCTTTGACAATCTCAAAGGTTCTGCTGTCAATTTGTTCTCTTTTGATAGAATGCAATCCTGTGGGTCCTTTGGTTGGAAACACAGTCACTTCAGTATTTGACCCATACAGCAGAACAGAACATGACAGGTTAGCCAGACAGTGAGGCAGACAATGAAACTCATATAATTTGTATGCAGTGTGAAGGAACGTAAGTCATCTTCTCACTGTGCTACAAATATATAGCCTTTACAATATGGACTGCTGTATATATGTATAGTATAATTACACTAATTCTACTCTCTGATTTTATCTTTTGGAGAGTGGGAAACTATGAGCAGTAGAACTTTGTAATTGTAGATTAATTGTGTTCAAAATGCCTACTGGAAAGTCTTGATACTTTGGGATATCAAAATCTATTTTGTGATGTACTTAGGATACTAGTCCTGTAGTCTACCAAATATTAGAGAGCATATCAGCCTAAATCACTACCTGTATGACATTATAAAAGTAGCCATAGATGGGTAGCTCTCCTCCCTCCCCGTGATACGTAGGTACCTCTCCTAACTCCTTTTCCTAATACACCTGTCCTTTTGAAATTAAAAAAAAAAAAAAAGTACCCATAAATGACTAGTAATTATGTCACTTATATTAAACCTGATTTGTTTGTTTCTGAGTATGTGGTTTATGCTGCTATGAAAAATGTTTTTACCTTTTACCATTGTCAGTTTGTAATGAGAAGGTTTTCTTTTACCCTTGTAGTTCAGAAAGCCACCTGATAAAATCAAACACAATAAATATGCTCCTGAAACTAAAACTTTTGAGAACTGCTTCTCTGGAGCATTAAAGGCATGTGATAAGGCATATTAAGACCATTAAAAGCAACAGTGATAACAGAGCTTCCTTCAAAAATTTATCACATTCTTCCAAAGAACTTCAAGTTTATGAAAATTTATAATTGTCAACTCATATTGAAGAGTTTAAATAATATTTAAATATTATTATATAAATAATCATAGTTAGAAATAGGAATCTTTCACATAGAATATTATTTAGGCAAATTAACTTTTTTAAGTTCTTCTATACTTTAATGTATAGACTACAGCCGAAGGAAAATTAACACAAAAAAAATTAGTTACTGTAAGGAAAAATTTCTTGAGACTTTATCAAGACAGTAATCTAAGAAATGCTTTGGAATCTCATCCCTCTAGGCATGTTAACCTAAATACACAAAGTGTTATTATTTATCATTAGTAAGAAGTTGTTACCAGTAGGAAAAACTAAATAACATATGTAGTCTTCAAATGAATCAAAAAAGATAGGCTGTAGAGCCTTTTAAACAATACATTATATACTGCATATTATTAACAAGTGGTTAACGTATATATTTTATGTGGCAAATTTCTAAACATATGCAGGTGATCTCTAGACCTTCACATAAAATCTAATGTTTATTGCCTATCCTGCCTCTGTACAGCATAAAATCTAATGTTTACTGCTTTTATCATTAACTAGCCTACTTTTGTGAATGTCAGCCTAATAAAAACAAAGGAAGTGATACTGTCAAAGGTAATCTTAGCAAATCTGTAATGAGTGCTAAGTACTCTAAAATAACATGTCTAAATCAAATATAAACAACTGGATTTTCCATATCTCTAAAGTCACATTGGTAATATAAAACTGCCTTGCAATATCATTATAAATACTGTATTGTATTCCAAATGATAACTTTTGTTTACCTAAAGGCAAAAAATATGAACATGGAGGCAGGCAACATTCCTCTTATGAAAGTGGGCGATTCAGAAATTAACCAATATTTATAATCTAAAATAATTGTTGTTTCATATCTATTGATAAAGATAACCCCCACACAGCCTGCTATTTTGCTAAGAAAATCACTAATTTTTTAAATAAAACATAATCACTCTATGTAAAACTTGTAAGCAGAAAAAATGTAAAAGGACACATAAAGCATAGATGGAAAATCTTTCTACCAATTTAATCTATTTCAACGAGATGCAAAAGGAAAACGTTAAGTGCTAGGTAAAGAAGTGAATTTTGGTGACCATAAACACATTAACAGAAATGAAAGACTTAATTACTAGAGTTCTGCATGTGATGTAACATGTACATCTACATGTAAAATGACAGTTGAATCTTTCTCTTGAAAAACATATACATAAACACAAAGACAAAAAGACACAAGTATGTTTGACTGAAGAGTCTTGAAATGTTGCATCTTGGGCCCAATGGATAAACCTAACTTTCAATAGTAGAACTTCAAGTGGAAGAACTGAGTCATTACTGTAGTTTTATGACAGAAATGTTTGTTTTGTGATAGAAATGTTTGCTTTTTTGTTCATTTCTTTGTAGAACTTACTAAATATATGTAAACACATAGTTCACATATATTCCCATACATCATAAAGATTTGGTGACCAGTCAGATGATGGGTGTTGTAAATACTAAAGAATTTAACCTTTAAAATGAATGTCTAAAAGTCTGAGACAATCATTAGGCTGTCTGTTGCCTTGATCTAAAGGATTCTAAAAGTCTAAGTTTTATGCAGATATGGACATAACTAAGTTGAAAGAAGGTGACCTTTGTTTTCATAGTCCACTCGGCACCTCTCAGTAATCTTATGAACAAAGGGTTGTGGGAATAAAAGGGGGAATGGAAAACTCTACTATTTCCAAGTTTTTAGATGTAAATACATTTTTCTAAATATATGGACTATGAGCTCCTTGAGACGGTGACTGAGTTCCTTGAGGACGGTGACAAAATAGTAGATACTGAATAAAGGTTGACTGACCAAATTAATAAACGCTACAGATAGAGGGTGGTGATCCACTCCCATAGCTGTCTAGAAATAGAGTTCAAGGAAGCCACTTAATATAATGAGTAGAATGAGTTAGAAGAATTCCCTTTTCCCCAGACAGACAGATATCATAAAAATTGGGTTGATCTACCTCATTACTCTTGCTTTGAGATAGTGTCAGGCTATCATTGGTCAGTTCCTCATCATCAGCACTGTTTCTGCTAAGAACTTTACTCTTCTTCTTCTTGCAACCTGCTTCACTGGCAGGGCTGCTATGATCTTCATCATTGCCTTCATCATTGTCATCCTCATCACTTCCACTTCCCTCATCTTCATCATCCTCATTATCACCATCACTTCCTTCTTTCTGAGATGCAGTTCTTCCCTTTCTCTTTACTACAGTAGGCCGCCAATCATTGTCATCTTCACTGTCATAGTCATCCATGTCATTCAGCTCTTCCATGGATACAAAATCCAAAAGTGGCCGGTTTCGACGAAGGTTCCACTTTTTTGGCTCACTGACTTGTTCCTCTGCAGTAGTTGTCGTAGTAGGGACAGAAGGAGACGTGTTAATAGCAGGAGGACTTGTGGCTGGTGTGATGGGGGCAGCAGAAGCAGCCACATTATCAGATACTGTTGCTTTTTCTTTCTCCTTCTCTCTCTCCTTCTCTTTCTCTTTTTCCTTGTCCTTCTCTCTTTCCTTTTCTTTTTCCTTCTCTTTCTCCTTTTTCTTTCTAGGTCTTTCACCATTCTCTTCTTCCTCCTTCTTTTCTATTTTAATTAACTGTTTTTCTGATGATAATATTTCTTCCTCTGCAGAATTTTTAAGTTGTTCTTCTTTTACTTTAATATCTTCATTCAGTTCTTCCTCTAAAATATTTTCTTCAGAATCACTACAGGAACCTTCTCCACTGTCTTTTGAGGGATCTTCACTTCCATTACCACTCCCTTCTGAATCTGTTGAAAATATGAGAAAAAAAAAACCACACATATGTATATACATACACACACACACACACAACGCTGACACAAATGAAACCACCAAAGTTTGTGAATAACTTGCAAAACAATATAAACAAATTTAAGTCAGAAGATGGTAGACATTCCCAACCTGATTAAATAATAAGTCATGAAGTTGGTATAATGGTTTTAGTTAATATAACACTAATGAAGATGAATATATGTAACTCTAAATTAACATATGCTTTTTAAAAAGGAACATTTTATATCATATATCTTAACCTAGAGGCAATTTTTTCTAAAAGTATATTTTTCTTTTTAAACTGGGTATTTGATTTTAATGTATTAATAATAAAATTAAAACTAAATTCATCTTCCACCCTTTCTTTTATAAACTATATGGAATTACAAGCATTGAGTCACATTCAGAACAAGAAAAATTTAGCACACACACAAAAAAATCCTGCTTCATTTACTTCACTATTTGTCCAGCAAAAATGAGCATATATATTTCTGACAGTCAATCTGTACCATATCACAAAACATAAGTGAAGAGAGACAAGAGCAATGGCACAGAACAGGAAGTTGTAGGAGAAAATATCAATTTTCCTGCTATTTAGGACTGCTTATATCAAATGACATTATTAAGCTTTCTAAGCTTTTAAGCATTAATTTTCCCCTAATGAAAAAAACTGATGAATTTGTGTAAAAAAACTAACCCATCTTAGAAAAGCACAACCACAGTAGTCACTGAAAGGATAAGCTGGTAACACTAATGAGCACATGCAGGACAACAGCTTTCTAGCAACTTTCTTTCATTCCTACCTAGTCAGCCCAAGTCCTCTCATCTGAACACTACTCAGTAAACTTTCAAACTTTGCATTTAAATCTAAAGTATATGGGAAGAGGAATAATGAAGAAGGGGGAAAAGTGGGTGCAGGAGAAACTGGGAAACAAATCAATCATATTCAAGCCCTGTCTGATACCAATAGTAAAATCTGCAGTGTATTGAAGATTTTTCATCTATAACCAAGAAAATAATTAAATGATGAAAAAAGTTTCCATACCATTTTAATTTGTTACTGTAACCAGCCTTGGCCTCTATAATTAACTAGAAATCAAAAGTAAAGAAATTTGTCTATAATTAGTATCTGGTACCTACAGTGCCTTAGAAGTCCTTTACAAATGACAGATAGATAGATAAGATAGACAGATAGACAGACAGATACAGATATTCTGAAAAGCAAATCATGAAAAAGACTGACATTTAGTAATGTTGACCAAGGCTGTAAACCATCATCAATCTGAAGCTTATCACATAGGTACCCACAGCTTATTCTTGACTGCTGTGAAAACACTCTGATCCTAACCCATCTTGCAATGACACAAGGGCAATGCAAATCAGTACTCCTTTAGATGAACTTTTGGAGACTGGTATATTGTGCAATGTAGACTGTTTTAAAGATTTTAGAAAAGTAGCATAATATATGCACAGTTTTTTTTTTCAATATATTAATGCCTCCAGTGAGGAATAAGGTACTATACTGTAATCAAACAAGTCCTATAAACTCCTATTCGTTCCACAAGATTTTATTATCAAGTAAGTTTGTGCTAAACTTAGGAAACCCGTTTGGATTCAATAGCTTCTCAAATTTCAGAAATTCACTCACAAATCATCACTCACAAATGGATGGGTTCTTTTCAGTACAACAGCTTTACAAGTCATAAAACAATTACGGGACTTTTATACCACTCCTAAGAATTAAATCCAACTTATTAAGAAAATACTTTGTAAGAAGATAATAAAAGGCACTTCTAGATACTTTTAGATAAGAATATAATAATAATCAGAGTTAGTTAAATGGAGAGAAACTGCAGATTGACTAAAGAGAACTAAAACATCTTACAAGTAATGCCAAAATTAAAAGACCTAGGAGATGTAAAGATACTTTTCTTTGGATTAATCTTCTAGAGACTTTTTTAGAAGTACCTACCTAAAAATACTTTTAATTCTCTTTAGCAACAAATAGAGTACATTAAAAAAAAAAAAGATGAACTATGGAAATCTGACCAAAACTGAGACCAATCCATCCTCACTATAATTTGGTATTTTTTACAGAATGACAGAAACATTTGTAATTCGGTTTTGGTTGTTGCCAACAATTAATCAACTAATTTTTAAAAGTAGAGGAAATTGATACTCTATATTCTTTTCATTTGTTATTAGAAAAATGTGACCCTGTCTCCACAAATATAAATCCTAGTAGTTCACTTTATCATCCAAATATAACACATTATTCAAACTCCATCTTCATACTTCAGGAACATATCAAAGTTTATCTTTCTTTGATCTCTGAAAAAAAATTCATCTGATTAACCGTCACTTCTTTTTGGTACATTTACACTTGAGGGATGGAGACAAATAATATTTACTACCAAGCATTGCTTGGTAATAATGACAGTGAAAAAAATCAGAGTCCTTGGCTATCTATAATTATATTTTCATAGACAGCAAAGAAAAATTTGCTACTGCTACATATTTAAATAAGGACTTTGCATGGTATTCTAAATCCATCAGTCCTTACCTCCCTCCTTAAAAAAGGAAACTATAATAAGCCAGATACTTCAAGTATAGCTATCTTAAGCATAAAGACAAAGTTGATTCTTTGTCTACAATAAAGCATTTTACATTAGGGAAAAAAAAAAAAAACATTAGAATTGAGACCCTTACTTCCTCTTTGGTTAATAAAAGTAATCTTTCTCAAATACATGGAGTCTCCCAGCAATATTCAGTGCACAAGTTTTCTCCATGATAAATATTAAACAATAAAATCAGTATGATTTAATCCAGTTTTATGTTAACTTTGCAGTGTACATAATCATCTTTGTTCGTCAACTTTAATTATCTAGATATTTCATTCAATGATAATGATTTCATGCAACAGTGATTAGTACTATAAATATGCATGATAAATATAGATAACTGGCCTACTGGTTATTCAGTTCTCATCTTGGAGTTAGCTCTGACTAACCTGTACATTTCTTTAAAAAAGAAAAAAAAGGTCAACACACTTCATAATCTTTTCCTGACTCTAGTTCTAGTTACATTATTTTGTATTTTACAGAAAAGTCTAGACCTGTAACTCTAAAGTCCAGGCAATTTGTCCCACAGAAGACATGTGGCAATGTCTATAGATACTGATTGCCAGAAAAGGGTTAGGGTGGAGAGGAACACAGGGAAAATGCTCATGGCACTTTAATAAACAGAAGACAGGGAGGCTACTAAACATCCTATCATACATACACAGCACAAGCCCCCACCACAAAGGGTTATCTAACCCAAAATACCAATAGTGCTTAAGTTGAAAAACCTTAGCCTACAACAGATGTTCTCAATTTAACCTCGTTGTACTTTCCCATGCTTACCTTTTCTACTCTTTCACTTAATCTTGATCCCCAAATATAAATGACATTTTCCAGCTGTCACATTTTTAGTGTTTTCCCCTACCTAGATTCTTTCTCCTTCAGTTCCTACTTCAATTCTTAACACCTCAATTGCTCAATCATGGTTAAAGACTTCTCCCATCTCCTTTGAAAGACTTAAACTACACAGGTTTTGTAGCATCTATGCATCCTTTAGTAATTAAGAGTCATGACTCTAATATTACTATTTCTTTCTTAATTCACAATATTCAGCAAAGTGCTTTTAAAATCAATGACCAGCTCTTGCTCCATTTACCCAAAGTCAAATTAAACACAAAGTACTACCAAAGCAAAGTCTTAGACTAACTCTTCCAGTTAAATTATTTTTCGCAGTATGGGCTAACAAAACTTAACTGTCACTCAAAATCTAAAATTAACCATTTACTTTGAATAGGGAGTTGGGAGGACACACTATTTTATCTTGTGTAATAAAGGTAATCTATGCACTCATTTTTAAAAATATTCCACTTTTAGAACAGATTACTAAATGTGCTGTTCGAAATGTCTCCTACTCTATTCCAATCCTAGGACTAAATCTCATATATAACCACTCCATCAAATATGAAACTGCCACTATTCCACTGTTTTAGAACCACAAAACTGGTAACTTCAATTGGTTCCACCTAACATTTCAACATAAAGTTTTTCTGGTGGTAACCAATCATTAAAATTCTAATGTATTAGATGCTCTTAATATCCATTTTGGGACTTATTATTTTAAAATTATTGACTGACCCCAATCAAAAATGAATAATTTAGCTCTACTTTTTCTAAAATATAAACTTTTCAGTTCATAATTTTCTGAAAGTAGAGACTTGAAATCAATTATTAACTGTCAATACTGTGGCAAGACTTTTTTTTAATTCATGTAATATTTATTGAATGTTTGGTTCTGTGGAATAGTAAGAAACAAAAACAAACTGACCTTAAAGTCCAGTGGAGTAAAGAGAAATAAGGTACACCATAAAGGCAACATAGAATGGAAAACATTCAAGGGGATATAAGAGTTCTAGTAATTCCAAGGAGAACATGTTCTTGGTGCAAAAGAGGTGAGGCAAAGAAAGGAGGTAGTATCTGAGCTCTGACTTCAAAGATGGGTGGTATGGTAGATGGAAAATTATCATACTTACAACAAGGCTTTTTTAAACAATATTTACCTTTTCTATCACCTGATAAGCATATGAATAAAATGTTTTATCTTCAAGGGTTTTGAATATGTTAACCTTCAAGGTTCCAGAATTTTCTACACTTAAATACAAATATGAAGTTTTGTAGTCAGAATTTTAAATTTCAAAATGAAGACTAGAAGAAAGTGATGAGCAGAATCCAGTTAACAAAAATAAAGGCCAACGAACCTAATCATTGTAACATTTAAGTTCTAAGGAAGTTAGTTGTTCATTCAATAAATTATGTGTAGAGATTTTGAAAGAAGTTATAAACAGACATTCACCTATTTCTCCTGTTCATCAACAGGGTTGGAATTCTACAACTTCAACATATTTGAAAACCAGTGATAAGTCTAATGTCTTCTTCCCTATGAGAGTCGAATAACACCAGGCAAAGAAGGGGATTCAAAAAAAAAAACACTGGTAATCTAGAGATCTAGGCTAAGTCAGAATCTCAGCTATGGTGACACCAGAGCACATTAACCAAGAAAACAAAATACATTTCAATTTCTTCTATAACTAGTTTAAGCAAAATCATTTCCTACTAAACTTTCATTTTCAGTAACACATGAGAACTACACAAATGAATGTGGGATCTTCATTTCACAGGGGCTATGTCTAAGTCACGAAATACAACAGGCTAGTTATTGTGACAATAAGAACAGGGAGTATAAATTTTTTAATGCTTTTAGGAGCAAGATTTTATTTTTTAATGACCAGCTTAACAGAGGTCATCCTACTTTTACCTCAACAACACATGCAGATGAATGAAAACACTACCTAATATCGTACCAAAAAAAGCACGCTACCACTTTTTATAAATGTTAGATAATTCCCATTAATTCTAATTAGGATTAAAAGGTCAGGAATCTCTAGTTTGATAACAAATTATTTTGAGAAAGTGGACTGTATAGAAAAAAAGTAATATTTTTAGGTCGGTTTACAACTTCAATAAACCAAAACTACATTGTAGCCAAAAATATGTCTATCAAGGTTTTCACCAAAATATCTGAAATAGTTTATGATTTTATCTTTTTTTTTTCCTTTTAAGATTTATTTATTTATGCATAGAGTACTAGGGTATAGACCAGGTGTAACAGGGGAGAGTGTGAGAGCATTCACCAGAGACAGAGTGGGAAGCAGAGCAGGCAGTTCTACCAAGTACCTGCTATCTCTTTTCCTTTCCCTTGTCTGGAAGCACAAACATCAATGATCCCATTTTAAAGGAGGAGATGACAGAGCTAAGAAGCAATGGTTAATAAACAATTATTCAAGGTAACTTAACAACTGCTGGGAGTAACTTCAATTAGACATTACCACATATATGCAGTTTCCATTTAAGAGCTCACCCATCTACTTTTAGGATTATGTAATAAAAAAATGTAAATTTTGGAGTCAAAAGACAAGGCTTAGATCTATTACTTCCTAAGTGACCTCATATAAATTTTTTTACTCTGGTTGTAAAGCAGTCTCTCCTTCTAAGTTGCTATAAAACATTACTTGCAGTTATGGAACAAAACATTCTCAGTAAATCACAATGCTAATTTTGCTTTCTGATGTTATTAAAAGTAACCAACAGTAGTACAGGATATAATCTAATTTTATCACTTCCTACCACTCTTGAAAAAAAACAAAGGAAAAACCACAGACAAGGAGAGAGCTGTAACTAAGAAAAGCAAACTTTTGGGAAGAATATCTTAAGGGTTAAGAGAATGAACTGGAAGGCTTTAATTTCTCACCTTACTTAAATTTCCATCCAAAGGGACAAAATTATTAATAATTTTTGCACACGTTTATTAGTATTTTCCACATAAAATATTTAAACATAGTTTGTATGCATTTCTCAAATATCTGCTTAAAACTATGTGTATGTTAAGACATATGGAACATAGATACAAAAGAAAAGCCTAATCTTAAATTTCCCATTTTTGTGCAATTTCAATATATGACCCAAAGTTGTTTTTAAATCATAAAGTGTGATGAGCAAGTATACATACCATATACCTCAGAGAATTTTGCAAGACCCAATCCATAAGGTCCAGTACCTACACACAGTACAACTTTCTACTATGGGCAACTTTATTTGGTTAAGAGAACTAACTGACAAAAAGCAAAACTCCCCTGAAGGGCTCTGATCTAAAGAGAAGAACCCTGCTTATGGTTCACTTTATTCTCAGGATATTATTTTATTTTGGGATATCCGATTATTCGCCCTCTGTAGATGAAATAAGCATAAATATATTTTAGGTTGTAGAATGGAGTAAATGCTTGTGCATCTTTGAAATAGGTCCCTCTCTACTAATTATCTGAGTATTCTCAACAAAAATGGAAGCAATGATTACGATTTAGTGACAGACCTTAAGGAAATGTTGGTAAATCAAAAGGAAAAAAAAAGTTTATGTGCTTGACTTTGAATGGGCATTTTAATCAAAAGCCGAGTCTTTAAAAAAGAAAAAAACTTGAAAGTAAGCCAACTCCAGAAAGCTGGAGAGAGGGGAAGTGAGAAGAAAACGGTTACCTGAGGCATCTCCAACTTTAAAGTCACTGTCATCTGAACTATCATAATCGAGGGCTTCTAGCAGAGAAGCTGCCAAAGGCTTCACCTGCCTCCTCTTGGAGCTGCGATCCACTGTTGAAAAGAAAAATATTACATAGTCATTCTTTGTCACACCAACCTCTGAAGAGAGTTGTGCTAAAGGAAAAACACCTATTAACCTCGTGCAAGGAAATTTCTAATTCATTTTTCAAGGAATGGGGAGGTTGTGGGAACTTGGGCTGGGATGGCCAGCAGCCGCCAAGAGTGGCAGTGGTTCGCGAACCTAGGCGGGCCAAAATCAAAGCTAACCTTTTTGTCTATTTTGTAATGTTTCTGTACCTCGCTCGAAGCCCCTAATTTAAGACTCCATAACAGGCAACTAAGGAAACCGCAAAGCCCAGGAATAAACGTCGTGTTCATTCCCGCGGGCGGTGGAAGGGGAGCGTCCACAAAGGGTTCGGCTTCCCACAGGACCCTCCCACCCCCATCCTGCTCCCTCTTTTTGAAGGGGTGCAGTGGACTTTCTTTCTCCCCGCGGAAGTCTCCGACACACTTACTAAGGTATCCGTGAGGTGGTCGTTTGAAGGAGACCTAGGGAGTGACTGCGAGAGCCCAGGCAGCGCCGAGGTCGGGCACTGAGACCGCGGAAGCAAGTCGGAAGGTGCTATTTAAACGCGGCGCCGCCGACCAAACCCGGGCGTCCCAGAAGCAGCCCAGAGGTCCCCTCCCGCCCCCCAGCCCTGGAAAAACCGGCCCCGGCCGCTCGCGCCCCTCCCCTAGGCGCTCCTCGGCCAGAGGCGCCCGTGGCCCAAACAGCACGGCCAACACGGCGGCCCTTAGGAGAGTTCCCCCGTTAAAACCGCTAGAAAAAAAAAATAAAACAAATAAAAACTTTATTAGCCTGCACCAGAAGCAACAAAAGACCCAGAATTTGCACAGTCCGAGGCCAGTTGCCTGAGACAATAGAGAAAGCAACGACCCGGATACACCTCTAACCAAGAGGAAGTGAAAAGACAAGGCAGAGCGCGGCCCTGAGAGCAGCAGGAGCCCAGAACGCATGCGCTAAACTCGCCGCAGTGCTCCCTCCGGAGGAGGAGCCAAAAAAGAGCTGAAAGGTAGCCGAGCCAAGCCGAGAACTGACGAAGTTTATCAAAAGGCTTTCCACTCTTCAAGGCCCTGCCCACAAGCCCTGAGGCTCCGCTCTCCTGGCGTTTTACTCCATTCTCTGTCCATGGGACGTCAATTGTTGTTTTTGACTTCTGTGTTTTAAGGATTTTCTCAGAATAAACTTTCCACAAAAGAACGTGTGTACTATCAAAAAAGCCTAGTATTCTACTTGCTGTTTCCGTAAATTGGATTTCTTAAAATGTCTGCATATGTGTGAAAGTGAAAGGGGGGATGTAATTCCTTGAGTGTTGCTTTGTTTTGTTTTTTTCCAGAAAATTTGTGACTTGCCTATCTTTTACATAACTGACTTTTGGAGTACAACTTATTGAGTTCTATGAAAAATACAGCTCTAAGGAAGAAAAAAAAATTACCTGTTTTATGATTGTAATGTGGGCCGACATTTTTATTAAATCAATTGTGCTGATTAATATACCTATGGGAAAGTGTCCCCATCACAAATATAGTGTGTATTATCTCATGGGTGTGGGTTTGTAAATCTATTCAGAGAATTTTTTTTTAAAGATTTATTTATTTATGCATATAGAACTGGGTTACTGGCCAGACAGAAGTGCAGGGCAGTGAGAGGATTCACCAGAGACAGAGTGGGGGAGCAAAATAAGCAGATCCACAAAGTACACTGCTGAGAAGAGAAGCAGGCGGGTCAGAAGAGGTCTGCCATGGATGTGGATCACCTCTGGGGCTGGGGATCGAACACACTGAAGTTGCTGCGACTAGCTTGCAGTGTTGAGTCCTAACCCATAGAGCCACCGGGGAGGGCCTCAGAGAATTTTTTTAAAGATTTATTTATTTTTAGATCCTTCCTGGTGACACAAGGGGCTAAAGAACGGCACCAAGAAGCTAGCCAGAGCTTCCTCACCTGGAGTTCGAGTTCGATCCCAGCCAGGGCGGTGTCCCACATGGCATGACAGACCTCTTCGGTCTGCCTGCTGCTCCTCTCATTAGTGTACATAGTCAATCTGCCTGTTCTACCTCCCAGTCTGTCTCTGGTGAATCCTCTCACCACCCCTGCACCTCTGCTCTGTATCACAGTTCTGTAGACATAAATAAATATAAATTATTTTTTAAAATAAGCTTATTTATGCATACAGAACTGTGGCACAGGGCAACCGAAATACACTGCTGAGGAGAGCAGTGGGAGGTACTGAAGAGGTCTTCAGTGCCGTGTGGGTCACCTCATTGGCCTGGGTGCAGTGGCACCATTCAATTGCTGTGGGTAGTTTCACGTTAACCCCTTGCACCACCAGGGAGAGCCCCAGAGAATTTATTTTTAAGATACATTATTAAACATGAAACATATTCAAACATATATATCAGTCGTTCACCAGTTTCACACAAAATGTCTACTCATAAAACTATTTTTCTAATGGGTTAAAATACTAGAATCTGAAACAAAATTAACAGCTTTTAAATGCCAATGAGGCAGGAAAAATTAAATGAAGCTTATTCACATATCCATTTACTAGCCAAATACAGATTGAGTGGCTACATTTGTAAAGTGGGAAATAGTGTTGTGAAAAACTAAATGCATAAGAATCAAATCATGTAAGACAATAGTGGAATTTGCTCTTCAAAGAAGCATATGGGATTATTTTGTAGACTGAAATTAAATTTCATACAATTAAAATTTAAAAAAATAGTAAATAATTTATATTTATGTTGACAACCTAGAAATTTGATCTTCCGTAGCACAGTTTTTTTCAGTTTTACTGTGCACAGCTCTGGTACAATTAGGGATACAGACAAGTTAACAATTACAGAATGTAATTGATATGAAAAGAGCTGCCAGAATAAACATAGACAAGATAAAAGAATGGAAGGCACTCAAGGAAGGCATCCAGGAAAAGTCTTTAAGTATCTGAACTGTCTGGGAAAAGGAGAAAAGTAGACAACTAAAAATACATTTTTATAAGCATGTGTAGATGTGTAGGGCTAAGAAAACATGGTTCCTCATATTCCTCAAAAGTTATTCTACTGCTCCAGTTAACTGACATGTCAGTAGTAATATATAACAATTATTATATAATTACATATAGATAACACAATTACAATACAAACTCATCTTTCTGTTTTTCACACCACTGCTGAAACCTCTAGTGTCCTCACACATATTACCATCAGATGCACCTCAAATGCTTCTAATGTGTAATAGAAACTTCTTTTCCAAAATTTTAAAATATAGATAATAAATCCTATTCCTTTCCAATGATCATTCTTGAACTTACTTGTCTATGACAGAAAGTTACCCTTCTGCCTTCTAAAATGGAAGCATTCATCTTCCCTCACCTGATTTTCTCAAGATTTAGAGGTAGTAGCATCAGATTCTTAATATTCCCTGCTGGTTTTCAGGTTTATTATTTCTGGGTTCCTTCTCTTGGTGGGTATCTGTGCCAAATAAAAGACACAGCCAAGATGGAACACACAAAGGCAAGAATTTATTTCCTTGTGACAAGGAAAATAGCTAGTGAAGGCATAATTTCCAAAGAAACTGTCTCATAGAACAGTGAGGTAAAGTTATACAGTATTGCTTAGTGTGGGAGGGGGGTCTTTTAGTAATGTCTTTGTTCCTGGTGCTGCAAAGCACCACTTCTTGTAACCTGCCTCCTTAGTCATTCTTTATCTTCACTGGGAGGTCTACATAAAAATATGCCTTTAGGGAAACATAAAATGTTGCCATATATATGTTTTATTTATGGGCAAGAAGTTAGTACATAAGGTGAACTGTGTCTAGTGACATGGGCAAAAGGGAAAACTATTTAATATGTATTAACCTGGAACTCACATAATGAAAAGTCCAGCAACTTAGTTAATGAATCAACTCCACCAGGAGCTTCATGTCCATTTTATTTCAAACATCAATGATGCTTGGATTATTTTTACTCCGAAATTATAAAATCAAACTTCCTATTCTCTGATTGCTGCCTAGATTCACTGGGAGGAATTATGTTGAGTTATGTAAAGGGGAAAAAATATTCTAAATGTCAGCCCTCATCATTCTTCAGGTGAAATTCTAAGATTTTCTGAATAGAAGTACATTACTGTATTTATATTCTTTTCTTAAATTTATTTATTTTTAAAAATCATAACCTGAGAAAGATGTTAAAGCTGTAAAATAGCTCAATAGATATGTATTTCCAATTAGCCACACATTTAATAAATAATTCCCAATTTTTCACTAAAACAGAAAGTAACCATTAATTTGACACTAGGTACTAGTGTGTATAACCACAAATAATGCACAGGAATTCTTTCCAGTTTTCTAAATCCCTGACGACTGAGTACTGGCAATCATTATTAACTTTCAATTTTAAAGTATTAAAGATTGACTGAAGAGTGTAGCTATAATATTGGGTTCTTATATACCTTTCACCCAGCCTCCACCAGTGTCTACAGCTTACATAGTAGTCATAGTATATTCACAAACTATAACCATAGTATATTCACAAACTAAGAAGTTAATATTATTACACATTATTATTATTATTATTACTATTATTATTATAACTAAACTGCAGACTTATTTGAAGTTTACTTATATTTCCACTAATATCCTTTTTCTGTTTCAAGGTCATGAGGGCATGAGGTTGAATTTAGATGAGCAATATTTTTTAACCTTTGTAATCTGTATGTTAAAAAGGAAAGAACCACAGAAAGGAAAGAAGGAAACAAGCAAAAGAAGAGACAAAGAGAAAAGAATACCAAAATTTTAAAATAGCATTGCTTCTTTGATTTGCATTTAAAAACCATGAATGAGGGGCTCTTAAAGCACCTCATTATGAAGGTCTCTGAAGCCACTGCAGCACTAGTTCAACACCCAGCCAGGGGGCTGACCCACATGGCATAGTAGTAGACCTTTGGTGACCCGCCCGCTGCTCCCCTCAGCAGTGTACTTTGTCAGTCTAACTGTTCTGCTCCCCACTCTGTCTCTGGTGAATCCTCTCACCACCCCTGTATCTCTGGCCTATACCCCAGTTCTGTAAGCATAAATAAATAAATCTTTAAAAAAAAAATCTGTGAATGAGATTGCAAGTTGTCTCATACTACTATTATGTATTTCTTAAAAATAAATAAATATAAGGCCTAAATTTTAAACCAACTACAAGCTTCTCAAAAATGGAGACTACATTTCCTTACTTTCTTGCAGGTATATGTGACTATGTAATTAAGCTCTGGTCAACTGGAAATCACCAGAAATTTATATAAAACTTCTGAGATATGACATTAAAAGAAAATGCTTGAATTGTTCCCTTCCTTCTCTCAATTTTTTTAAATTTCTTTTTCTTTCCTAGTTGCTCTGGCTAAAACATTCCATAAATGGTTACATAAGAGTTGTGACTGTATTTCCTTTTTGTGCACTTATTGATAGCATTCACTCTATAATTCATCATGTTTTTTTCCTTTTGTTTTAGTCAGATTTGACGTATTCATACATTACTACACATAATGTAAGACTAATTATTTCTTAATTGTGACAACTGTAATTTTTTTTTTTTAAGATTTATTTACTTATGCAAACAGAACTGGGGTACAGGTCAGCGGTGTGGTGTGTGAGAGGCTTCACCAGAGACAGAGTGGGGAGCAGAACAGGCAGATTGAAGAAGCACACTGCTGAGGGGAACAGTGGGAGGGTCAGGAGAGGTCTGCCATACCATGTGGATCACCTCCAGCAGCGGGGATCGAGCTTGTGCTGAAGTGGCTTTAGCTTCTTAGTGCTGTGCTTTAACCCACTGCACCACCAGAGAGGTCCAACAACTGCAGTCTTAATGTAGTTATTTTGCCAAAGATAATATTAATGTCAAAAATTCTGTTCAACTAAACAAACTAAATGTGA